AACTCATAAATTCAGAAAACTCAGAAGGGAGGCATAAGAATGCAGTTTATATAGTTCAAATAATATCAAAGCGGTAAATGATCGGCAATTAGCACATTAGGCCCACAAACACAGTAATATCAACAATAAAGAAAGCCAAGTATAGATCATATTACAAGCTCGAATTCTGAATCCTGAACCAGAGGTTCTGGGTTCTTGTTCCCCAGCAGAGTCGCCAGAGCTGTCACACCCCTTTTATACCCCCCAAAAAGATATGTATTATGGATTGTTGTGGGTTAAATAGTTTTTTAAAGTGACAAATTTGAGTAGGAATTATTTTATTTACAAAGTCGCCACTTGGAATTGACTTTTTGGGTGTTCCAAGTCACCATTTATTTGAATCCCTAGTCAAAGGAAGGTTTGACTCTATTATTATTGGTCTGCGAAAATAAAGTCCGGGTAAGGAATTCTGTTGAGCGGGAAGAAGGTGTAAGGCATTCGCCGAGTCTTGTGGTTCTAGCACGGTCACTTTATTGACTATATTTGGCTTATATTATTTTTGGATAACCTGTGTTTTATTGGTTCTCATGTTTTACCTATATCCGCTTTTATTGCTTGATTAGATTTATGAAAATTATCTTGAAATAAGTCATGCGTACGTGTACTCATTTTTGTTTGGCGTCAAGAATCATGTCACGCGTACGTGTACACAATCAATAACACATTTATTATTATTCGAAGTTGATTGGTCAAGTCACGTGAACGCGCACTTGTATTATTTTCTTAAGTTAATTTAAAATTATTGTAAGACCAAGAGTTTATGGATAGGAAATTATTTGAAAGTCGGGGAATATATTAGTTATTTAAAGTATTGAAAAGTTATCCACACTGAGAAATATTTACAACTTACTACTCTATCTTTGAAATTAGGAGGCATTTATCCATTATAGAAGAATGAACTAATTTATTAGTCTAGTGATAAAATTATTGGGCCTGACAGATTTATACTCAACCCAACCCATATCTAATTCTTTCTTTCTTATTAAATGTGGTAACTCATTTTTGGTTTACTTACTTGAACTTCAACGCATGACCCATTAATATGGCAAGATCTTCATTCTTAATTCTAGATAGCAAATCTCATTAAGATGAAATACTATTCAAATAATCTGTTGACAAATCGCTTGAAACATGTAAAAAGAAACTACAACATGATAATGTGTATAAATAAAACAACACAAAAAATTATCACATGAACAGACTCTATAAGAACATCACACAAAACAATGAAATAATTAACAAAGGGAGGATAAGCAATGAACCTTTAAGAAAATAATTTCCTTCAGAACTTGATTAATGCAAAAATAATTTAGAGCCGACAAGTACACCAAACCAAGGGCAAATCGGCAGATGAGCAGAAAATCTAGCGACGAACCTTCTAAAATTCGAGCTAGGACCGAAACTCGATTGTACCTCGTGAGGCTGCTGGTTTTTGGCGTGAGAGAGGTGACTATCAATGAAACTTCACAAGGTGTTTTTAGGCTTGAATTTGAGGCATTTTTGGGTCTTAAACAGGGTGATGAATTGCTTGAATTTTCGAAAGAAAGAATGAAACGAGTAGAAATTCCCTTAGCGCAGAAGAATAATTTTTTTCTCTCTCAATTCTCTCCTCTATTTTTTCCTTCTTATTTTTCCTCTTTTCTCCTCACATTTCTCTTCTATTTATGGGAAACAAATTCGGAATTGTTTCAGATTTATTTTTATTTTATTATTATATTATTTTTTAATTTAAAAGAATTCCACTTCCCATTTTTTTTCTTTTTAAAATAAAATAATTCCCCACTTTCCTTTACTTTTATTTTTTAATTTCTCACTTTTTTTACTTTACTTTTTTTCCCCCACTTATTTAATTTTCTTTTTTTAATTTCAACTTATTTTACTTTTCTCTTTTTAAATTTCCACTTTCTTTTACTTTTTTTTTAAATATTTTTAGCTACCTTTACTTTTATTTTTTAATTTCATATTTCTTTTACTTTCATTTTTTTAAATTTCCACATTCTTTTACTTATATTTTTTTTAATTTTCCACTTTCTTTTAATTTTTTACAAAAATAATTTCCACCTACTTTTACTTTTAATTTTTTATTCCATACTTTTAATTTTCCTATTATTTTATTCCCATCCTAAAATAAAAAATATATATTTATTTTTTCGGTTTTTTTAATTTATTTTATTTTAAAATAAAGATATAAAAATAAAAATAATACTAATAATAATAATTTGACCTTTTAAATTATTTTTAATTCTTACCCTATATTAAAAAAAATATAACAAAGCTAAAAAATTATATATTAAATTTCTAAAAATATTTACATAGTAGAAGGTGGTAAAAATTCAAATATAGTCAAAAATCAGGTGCTCACATTATAAACTATCTTTCAACTATTATCTTAATTATTTTTTTCAAGTATTAATTATATAACATGCTAGTCAAACTAAGATTCCAGGTTAATAACTAATAAAATACAAATAGCATAATTATTAAAACAGTGCAGAGTGCAGAGGGAGAATAATTTTTTCACACTCCATTCTTAATTTTAGATTTTAGAGATAACGCCAACACCGGCAAAAGATTTGGTAACGGAGAGCTATCAGTAACAGCACAGAAGCGTGTGGAAATTAAATAATATATTATCCGGATGGCTAACTAAACACACAAAAAAAAACCCTCTTTGATGTGCTACCGAAAGTTAATTATCTTAAGTTTTAATAATTTTATTTAACAATATTCTGAATGACAAACTTCAAAGCCATATCTTTCGCTAAATTGCTAAATCTCTAAATAGAATTTTGGCCAAACCCTGTTACAAATCTGATAGGAAGAGTGATTTTCCAAAAATAGGGTGTTAAGCAGAAAAAAAGTTATTTAATCTTAAATAAAATGCGTTGTGCTTAAAATTTAAAACTACAGCTGTATAGGTCAAAATCACTAAAACATTCCTGGGATGCCACGTGTCGAAGTAATCTAATTATCAACGAAGGCCGTGGTCGAAGAGTCAGCAAGACTGAAGTCGAGGAGTTGTCTTCGAGGCCGAGGTCGAGCACCGTTGACAGAGTTATAACAGCTAGTTTCAAGATAGGACACAAAAGCGAATATTCTAATGGATATTCTCTCCATTTGTACTGTTAGAGTTTTTTAGGAACATGTTCCCTATAAATAGAAAGAAACAAAATAATAGGGGACATGTGATATTCATTTGTAAAGTATACTTTGACTTTAGAAAGAGAATCGAATCTTATTGCAAGCACACAAACACAACCTTTTTACTAAGATTCGTGTCTATACTTTTTCACCGGATCCGAGGATAACTCAGATATTCGAAGGATTGTCCATCACTCATCATTGTCAAAAAGAACATTCATTGATTCCATCTTTTCTTGGGTGACTCATTCATTATATTTATTTAAATACCATTTATTACTATTCATCAATATTTAATGCTACATTATTGCATTTGACTTCTTAAATATTAGTTGTATGTTACCACTGCTACTAAAACATATCTACATTATATTTATTGCACCTCTGAGAACTTCATCTTTGGAGATATTATTGTTAACTAAGACTAACCCTCATTTATATAAATTCAATTAGTTGAACCAAGATCTATATTTTTTGGTCAAACAATTTGGCGCCGTTTGTGGGGATTTCTTAGTTAAATTTTTAGTTTACTCTAGATCTACAATTAACGCAAGTCACTAACATCAAAAATCCCGAGATCTCCTTTCTTTGTGCGTACAAAACCCTACATGGCAGGTAACCAAGGAGAAAAGACAAAAATAACAAGTGACTTCCCAAGCAACCTCATGAATGTTACCAACGAAAGTTGCGAAATAGTAGGCGAGGACATGAAGCCCAACGCGTCTCCTAGGCGTGAGAGGCTGCCTCCCCTACACTACAACATAACAAAACACAGTGAAAAAGGGGCCTCCACGTATGCAGAAGAAGGGATGCCCCCAGCTGTGAAAAAAATCCTTGAAGCATGGCTGACCGACACGCTAGTGAGCATCCTCAACAAACCTGCTCCAGGCATGACAACAGAAATCGTAAGAGCCTGCATGATACAACAAACAGACGAGCATTGCAACCGACCAAACCCTCCATCGACAGGTATAACTCACAATATTACTAACAGTGCAGGTGACAACACCCTCGCCGCCATTCTAAAAAGAATGGAAGAAATGGAGAATGAAAACAAAGCACTCCGAGACCAGATGAAAGAACATCAAGAATGAGTCAACAAGATACCGGGCGCTCTTAAGCTACTGCCAAAAAGGGATGCCGGCAGGTTCATAGAGCAACCGTACATCGATGACGCAGCCCCGTATACCATACAAAAGACTTGTAAAATGCCGCCCTACCTTAGGATATACGACGGAACGACAGATCCCGAGGATCATGTGACTCACTACGTCACCGTTGTGAAAGGCAATGACCTCGCCAAGGAACAAGTGTCCTCTATTTTGCTGAAGAAGTTTGGCGAAACTCTTACGGGAGGGGCATTAACATGGTATTCAAAGCTACCAGCCCGCTCCATACAAACTTTTGAGGAAATGACCAATAAGTTCCTATCCGCCCATGCCGGAGCCAAGAAGGCCAAAACAAGAGTAAACGACATATTCGCTATTAAGCAGTCCTTGGGAGAGGGACTAAGGGACTTCCTCGCCCATTTCAATAAAGTAAGGATGACTCTACCGAAGGAATCCGAAGTCATGGCAGTCGCCGCTTTCCAGAACGGACTGAGTAGGGATGGTTCAAGAGAAACTAGAAAACTGTTGAGCTGATTGATGAAATATCCCCCAACCACTTGGGACGAAATCCATAATGCTTACTGTGCAGAGGTCCGGGCAGACAAGGACGACCTCAATAGACCAACTCACTGGCTAACCTCGGTACAAGCTGAATCCAGAAAAGAATGAAGAGACAACATCAGGAGGGATCACCCTGTCCCGCGACCCAACATGGAACGACATCAACCTTATGTCAGGGCGGCTGCCGCCCCTTCCCACCGCTATGAAGAAGGCCCATCCAGGCCAAGGACAAGGACTCATCGGAACGAAAAATATATGCCCCCTTTACTATCTGCTCACAATTTTTGTGTGTCACCTACAGAGATAGTCTACACTCTTGAGAAACTCGAAACGAAAGTAAAGTGGCCGCCGAAGATGAGTTCAGATCCAAACACCAGGAAATCGGACGCGCTCTGTGAGTTCCACCAGGAACGTGAGAACAAAACAGAAGATTGCATCTCCCTCAAACAAGAAGTCATAAACATGTTGTGGTAAGGGCACCTCAAAGAGTTGTTAAGAGATAAGGGGAGAACCAACTTCGCTAGAGGACGTGAACATCAAGGCCCACCAAAGTCGCCATCGCCAGCTCATACTACCAACATGATCATCGGAGGCGATGATGACACCTTTATCAACGACGTGAAGTTCACCACCACCCACAAGCTCAAGCAGTCTATCATCCGCGAATGGTACAACAGACTCGAAGAAAGTATCATTTTCGATGAGTCGGATGCCGACGGTTTGACTTTTCCTCATAATGATGCCCTCGGTATTACTATATGTATTTTAGATACCGATGTCAAACGCAACATGGTGGACGATAGAAGTGGAGCATGCATTATCCATCCCCGAGTCCTTACCCAAATGAGACTTGAGGATAAGATAATGCCGCTATGCATCACGCTAACCGGTTTTAATAATGCAGTTGAGCGGACATCCGGGGAAATTACACTCCTCGTCTTGGCCGGCGGCGTGACTCTAGAGACAACTTTCCACATCATGGAACATGCCACAATGTACAACGCCATAGTGGGAAGACTATGGATACATCCCATGAGAGCCATCCCCTCCAGCTTATACCAAGCAATTAAATTCCCAACACTATGGGGAATATTCAGCATACGCGGGGAACAACGCACATCTCGGGAATGCTATTGCATTGCCTTGGATAGCATGGCAACCCAACAGAAAAAGACAAAGAAAAAGAGGAATACCAATCAACAGGGCTGAGGTAGACGCAAGAAAAGACCGGGGACGTCATCATGGATCCCGACACAGTTGAGGCTACAGATTCGACCATAGAAGACCTCGACCCCGTTCAATTAGATCTCAACGACCGAAGAAAAAAGGCCTATATCGGCTGCAAACTCTAGGAACCAGGTAAATTAAGTCAATTCTTAATATCTAATGCAGATTTGTTTGCCTTCAACCATGTAGATATGTCGGGCATCCCAAGGGAAATTACCACACACAAATTAAATGTTGACCTGTTCCACCCCCAGTAAGACAAGTCAGGCACAAATTCAACTCCACCATTAACGATGTAGTTCGCGAAGAAGTGGAAAAACTGTTAGAGAACGGCTCCATCAGGGAGTTGAAGTACCCTAAGTGGATCGCCAACGTAGTGATAGTAAAACAGAAAAATGGGAAATGGCGGATGTGCGTGGATTTCACAAATTTGAATAAAGCATGTCCGAAGGATTTGTTCCCATTACCCCACATCGACCAACTCATCGACGCAATAGTTGGGCACGAACTATTGAGTTTCTTGGACGTTTACTGAGGCTATAACCAAATCCTTATGGAGGAAGAAGACCAGGAGAATACCATATTCATCACCCACCAAAAAATATATTGTTGTAGAGTCATGCCGTTTGGGCTGAAGAACACGAGTGCTACGTACCAAAGATTGGTAAAAAGGATGTTCAAAGACCAGCTCCACAAGACCATGGAGGTATATATAGACGGCATATTGGTCAAGTTCGAAAAGGCAGAGGATCACATCGATCACTTGAAAAAAACTTTCGACATTCTAAGAGGGTACCGAATGAAGCTGAACCCAGAGAATTGCGCGTTTGGTGTAGCCTCGAGGTTATCCCAGACCAAATCAAAGCTATCGAGGAAATACCAGAACTCTTAACCACCAAAAAGCAAGTCCAAAGGTTGACTGGTCGAATCGCCACCGTATCAAGATTCATCTCGCGGTTGTCAGATAGATGTCATAAATTTTTGGCGTACTAAAAAAGACAACGACCTCAAATGGACTCCCGAGTGTGTCCAGGCTCTGTGAGAACTGAAGGCATACCTATCATCCTCACTGATAAGTGGGCATTTTGACTACTTATTAGCACCTTTTAGCTTTTGTTTTAGTACGAAAATATTGAATCGTGTTCTCAGAACTAATGAAATTATGAAAAAGTGTAGGAATGCTGGAAGTTTGGTCTCCCGAGATGAAATTCGACTCAAAAACGAGTGTGCCAAAGCACAAGGCAATAAAGGGCGGAGAAGCACAAATGTGCGGTCCACAAATGAAATTTTGAGTTGAGGGCCCGCAACGACCACATTCAAGGTTAAAAATCACTATGGTCCAATTAAACCACTTGATGATTGCCAAAGTCAACACAAGAGTCACAAAGTCACTAACTAGAGCTATTTCTTTCAAAAACACTTGTCTCTAACCATAAGCACATAGTTAAGTATGTTGGTACCAATTAAAGCATGGTTGACTCTTCGAGCATGACTTAATTAGGTCTTTTTATTCTCCTTGCCATTGTGTTTGCAATTGAGAAGTTTCGCCCGTACTTGATGGGTGCAAAGGTCATTGTCCACGCGGATCATGTGGTGCTTCGTCATCTTATGAGCAAGAAGGACTCCAAAGCTCTGTTGGTGAGATGGGTTCTTTTGTTGTAAGAGTTTGATATTGACATCCAGGATAGAAAAGGGAGCGAAAATCAAGTGGCGAATCACTTGTCTCGTTTTGGAGGAGGAGGGGAGGCCACATGATGGCCTTGAAATCAATGACTCCTTCCCCGATGAGCAACTCTTGGCTATTTTAATGAAAGATGTGCTATGGTTCGCGGATTTAAAAAATTTCCTTGTGTGTGGAATCATCCCGGATGAGTTCTCTTCAAACCAAAGGATGAAGCTCAAACGAGATTGTCAAGATTATTATTGGGATGAATCATACCTCTTCCGGATTTGTATGGATGGGGTTATTAGAAGATGTGTACCGGAAGAAGAGCATGGTGAAATTCTTGGGGCTTGTCATTCTTCGCCATATGGTGGTCATTATGGTGGAGTAAGAACAGCGGCCAAAATGCTGAGTTGCGATTTCTATTGGCTCACTCTTTACAAGGATGCTAGTGAGCTAATGAAAAGATGTGATGAATGTCAACGGGCCGGTGGAATCTCAAAGAAGAATGAAATGCCTCTTACTACCATTTTGGAGATTGATATTTTTGATGTGTGGGGTATTAACTTCATGGGTCCTTTTTTGAGTTCTTGTGGAAACACCTACATCTTGGTCGCCGTGGATTATGTGTCCAAATGGGTTGAGGCCGTTGCTCTACCCAACAATGAGGTGAGAAGTGTGGTGGAGTTCTTGAAGAATAATATTGTCACAAGGTTTGGTACTCCGCGGGCAATTATAAGTGATTGGGGGGGGGTCACCTTTTTGCAACAAGGCTTTCGACACTTTACTTAGCAAGTATGGTGTTACTCATAAAGTCACGACTCCCTATTATCCACAAACGAGCAGTCAAGTGGAAGTTTCATACTGGGAGATAAAGAGTATTTTGTCTAAAACAGTGAATGCTAATCGGACGGATTGGGCCAAGAAGCTTGATGATGCACTATGGGCTTATCAGACGACTTACAAAACACCTATCGGAATGTCACCATACCGGTTGGTGTTCAAGAAAGCTTGTCACCTTCCGGTGGAACTTGAGCACAAGGTGATGTGGGCTCTAAAGAAGTTGAATCTTGATTGGGATGTAGCCGCTAACTTGAGGGCTTCACATTTGAATGAATTAGATGAGTTTCGATACCATGCTTATGCAAGTTCGTCCTTGTACAAAGAAAAATGAAATATCTTCATGTCAAATACATTTGGAACAAAGAGTTCAAGGTGGGCGATTTGTATTGTTGTTTAACTCAAGGTTGAGGATGTTTCCCGGGAAGCTAAAGTTCAAATGGTGTGGTCCTTTTAAAATTATGGGCGTGACACCTTTTGGTGCATTGGACTTGAAGAACAAAAATAATGAAGTATTCCGAGTCAATGGTCACCGGGTGAAGCACTACTTGGGAAAAGTTGGAGATAGCCACGTCGTGGCGGTCATTCATTTCAATTGATGGTATTCTGCGTCGTGCCGCGACATTAAATAAGGCGCTTCTTAGGCGACAACCCATATTTCTTTTCCTTTTCCTTTTTTAGTTAGGTGTTGTTTTTATTCTAACTTGATTTGAAGTGTGCTATAGGCTGAGTGCGATTTACAGGAATTGTGGACAAATATCTGGCTAAGTATTGCAAGAATTGCAGACTGCAGTAGATTTGTGCGGACCACGCATTTATGGTTGCTGCAACAAAAGTTGTTCTGCGGCACTAGTCACCAAGAGTAAGCCCCAATAATTCACCAAGCAGGTGAACACCTCCACTCAGTCACCTCCTCTTGGCCGTTCATCAAATGGGGAATGGACATCGTGGGCCCCCTCCTAGAAGGGCGAGGTAATGTACGATTCCTTTTGGCTTTAATTGACTATTTCTCTAAGTGGATGGAAGCAGGAGCATTTTTCAAAATATGAGAACATGAGGTAATCACCATTATATGGAGAAACATTATCTGCCGATTCGGCCTACCCAAGGAAATCAGTTGTGAAAACGGACCCCAGTTCATAGGAAAAAAAATCGCTGAGTTCTTCAAGAAATAGCATATCAAGAGGATACTTTCAACCCCATATCACCCAGCGGGTAACGGGCAAGCAGAATCCTCCAATACGTTCATACTAAATATCATGAAGAAAAAGCTCGAAGACGCTGTGGGACTATGGCCGAAAATACTACCAGAAGTATTATGGGCCTATCGAATAACTTCGAAGGCGAGCACGGGAGAGACGCCCTACTCTTTGTTCTATAGGACCGAGGCAGTGATACTGGTCGAGGTCAGAGAACCAAGCCTAAGGTACTCCTATGAAAGCGGCATGAGTAACAATGAGAGCAGAAGGCAGGAACTCGACGAAATTGACGAACGAAGAGATATGGCATCCATAAAAATGGTCGCCAAAAAACAACAAGCAGATCGCTATTACAACAAGAAAGCAAAGGTCCGGCCGCTTAAAGTCGAGGACTACGTACTGAAAGCCAAAACTCAAGCGAGCAAAGACCCCCGGGAAGGAAAGCTGGGAACGAACTGGGATGGCCCGTACAAAATCATAGCTAAAGCGAACAAGGGTTTATTCCAACTAGAGACAATGGAAGGAAAGCAACTACCAAACAACTAGAACATCAGCCACCTCAAATACTTCAACTTCTAAGAGAAAAAGCATCTCCCAAGTCGCACTCTTTTACCCTCACTTGAGTTTTGTCCCATTTGGGTTTTCTCAAGGAGAATTTTAACGAGGTAGTGAAGCGAACACTTTGAGTCGAAGTACGCGAGGGTAGGACCATTGTTACTATTTCATTGCTCAACTTCTCAATACTCTCCAAGCCAAACAATGAAGGGACTAGGTAGACTGGGACTAGAACACCAGCCAACACCCAAAATCTGTATTTTTCTCCAAGTATGTAACCAAAGCAACAATGTCAAAGCACTAAGAAACCTACTTTTATCAGGACACCTTTTTTCGTATTAAGGTTATGTTTGACCTCGCTCGAACAACACCTACCGGCCCTCGGCCGCGACTTAACGAAATATTATGTTCGAACCCACTCGAACAAACACCTACCGGCCTTTGGCTGCGATTTAATGAGAGGTTATGTTCGACTAAGCTCGAACAAATGCCTACCAAACCTCGACCGCGACTTAACGAAAGGTTATGTTAAACCCTGCTCGAATAAACACCTATCGGCCCTCGACCACGACTTAACAAAAGTTTATGTTCGATCCCACTCGAACAAATACCCATTGGCCCTCGGACGTGACTTAGCAAAAGTTTATGTTCGACTAAGTTTCGAACAAACACATACCGGCCCTCGGCTGCGACTTAACGAAAGGTTATAATCGACCCCGCTTGAA